CTGATTCAAGTGAAGGGAGATAGACATGATAGATCCCTGAAAGATGTAGTATAAAAAAATAGATTATTTCACCTAGAAATGGAACCAGTAGAAATAGGATGAGTAGGGAGAGTAGCTTGTTGAGCGTCTGGGAAACTGCCTTCTGATGAGGACAACTCAATCATGAACAATTTCTAAATGTCATTGTTGTTATTCAGTTGAGTCCAACTCTCTGTAATCCCATTTGCGATTTTTCTTGGCAAAGGTACTGGAGTGGTTTGCCATTTCCTTCTCCAGCTCATTTTACAAATGAGGAAATTGAGGCAAACAAGGTTAAGTGACTTGCCCAGGGTCACACAGCTTACCAGAGGTCAGATTTGAACTAAGGTCTTCTTGATTCCAGGCCCTGCACTCTATCCACTGCGACACCTAGCTGCCCCAATTTCTAAATGAGAGTGCAGTAACTTGGAACTAGGCCAAGCCCTCAAAGTTGTTACTTCATAGAGAAGTCTTTTTCCCTGGTTATAATTTCAATTATAACACACGTTTCTAGGTGAGTGAGAGAAGATATGAAGGGTATCTTTTTTTTTTCCCTTTACTCGAAGGAAATTGAACCTATGCATCGTAAGTCTTCAGCATGTGGCCGCACATGAAAAATGCAAACCTCATGCTTTTGAAGAGAAACAGAAGTATTTCTGCCCTTGTGACAAAGAAGTGTCCAAGAACAAAGCCAGGGGTATTTGAGCCCATGATTGGTACCCACTGGACTTTTTTGTTGTGATACATTTTTATGACCAGCTTTAAAGACATTGACCTGCTGGTCTCATTCTGGTTTTCATTCACTGTATCCTTCTTAAGAGAAGGAAAAATAGTCCCTAGGGAAAGGCAGCATTTTAATCTTTTAAAACTGCACCAAGTAATAGGATGCTAACTTGAAGCCTGCTGCTTCTCTCCCATCATATAGAGAAACGCTGCTTCAAACAGAGAAAGGGGAAAATGGTATGTGGTGGTGAGGAGGTGGATAAGAATCCCATATGTTAGAATCAAAATGCCCAGGCCACCACATGCTATGCCTTGTTCACCTTGGGCAATGTAGGAAGATGGAAATATTCCCCTTTGTTGAAACAGTATTTCTAATTAAATTAAAGTCCATAGCAATTTAGCTTGGTGGTGAGGACAGGCCATCTCATCTCCTCATTTTTTCTAAACTGTATCTAGATCACACAAGGGGCAGAGGGACAGGGAAATTGCTTAAGGTCTGGCCTGATGTTTTCTCCCGTACAAACATACAATTAGGCTGTCTTAACCTCCCCACTCAGCAATAAACACCACTTCACAGGCTAATTTACAGGCCAAAGTCACAGAAGGAACTGGAAGGAGCTCTCTAGGAGACACACACCCCTACCATTCAGCTCCAAGAGGCATTTCACCATCTCAAGTTAGCAAAAAATGTAGAATAATAATAACAACAACTTTTTTTGCACTTAACCACAAACTAAAATGAGATTGAACTGAAGGCTATATATTCAAACTTTGAATTCACCAGCTAATTAAAAAAAACACATTTGTGATGAGAGAGAGAGAGAAGGAGGGAGGGAGGACGGGAGGGAGGAAGAGAGAGAGAGAGAGAGAGAAGAGAGAGAGAGAGAGAGAGAGAGAGAGAGAGAGAGAGAGAGAGAGAGAGAGAGAATATGTAGTAATTGGCCGTGTCCTAGGAATGTCTTTTACTTACATTATTTGGAGAGACAGTGGTCTCAATAATATTGACTTTACTGACACTTCTCCATTTTTCTGCCCCCCATAATTATGTGTCAGTCAGCAGCACCTAGCTGCTAGAGCTTCCAACGTGAATTTCTTCAGACACTGAGAGGCAGGAGCTGAGGAGTATGGGCCTTGTTCCTCCAACTAGATTGATTTCCCCAATCCATCTCCTAGAATGACTACCATGTTGGAAAAAGTGGGGAGAGGGGGAGAATTCCATAGCAGACCAGCAGCAAATATTCAGGGAAGCTCAGTAGACATTTTTCTTGATAATTTTTTTTCATTGCCCAAATTTTTCTGGGGAGGGTGGGGAGGGGGTGGGAGGTAGGGGGTTGGTTGGGGGTCTGGGGACAGTGAAAGAGAAATGAAAGGAGAAGGGATGTAAGAAAAGGGGAAAGTATTCGAAGAGGTCTGAGGTACAGAATGAGATATGTATTCTCAGTCTTGGCCAACGCATGGCTTTGTTTTACTGGGCTTAACACATTTGTTATAAAGAAGGACTTCTGAGAGTAGGGACATGAGAGTGATAGGTTAGTGGGTTGTGATATATATGACCAAAAAAAGATGTCAGTAAAACTTTTTTTAATGCAAAAAGAAAAATGTTTTAAAGTTCAGAAGAGGACACAAATAGAGCAGTTTTGTTATTTCCTTATTAAATTATATATTTATATAATATACATAATGTACTTTTTTAAATGTGCATAAGAAAAGTTCACAGTTTCTTACACAGATCTCATTCTCTGTGCTTCTTGATGATTATTAAATTCACAATAAAAAGGGCAGCTAGATGGTGTAGTGGATAGAGCTCTGGCCTTGGAGTCAGGAGGACCTGAGTTCAAATCTGGCCTCAGATATTTGACACTTATGAGCTGTTTATGACACTTAACCCTAATTGCCTCACAAAAAAAAATTAAATTAAATTAAA